TATATTTATGTCACATATGGAATTTCTCTAAGTAGTTACCCAGAGCCTACACCGATGTATGAGCCTGCTCGACACTCTACAGGGGGATGGATGTAGCCATGTAAGTATGTACTCATTAGCATTTCATATGTATTATAAGACCTTAATATTATGTAAAAATGTGTTTATTTCATAAAAATTAAGTGTTTGAAACTAATTTAAGTGACTTTCGCCTCATGTTAAGTCTTTTTTTCCCTCAAATTTAAATTTAGTCTTGTATAAATAGATGTTAACCCAATAAATATGTTGAATTAATCAATTATTTAGCATATCTTTATAAATTAATGGATTGTATTTGTGTTTCTATGCGTTTCCATATTTTTTCTGCGTTTCCATTGCGTTTCCGAAACGTTTTCATTTTTGAGCTGACCGAAACGGTACTTCGAAACGAAATTTGGATCCTTGTACGGAACATGAAGTTAGTGGTCTCTATCTTGACTTGATAGATCTCCTCGGGCTTTTCAGACCTCGTCATCTCCCTTTCAATGGCCCTGTCGACATGGTCATCCTTCGCTCTAGAATCTAAAGTGTCAAGTTCCTAGTCTCAGTCATGTGTCGTCTGTGTCTTGTGAAATTTGTCAACTTAGTAAACATCACCGTGTTTCCTCTCAGTCTAGAATCAATAACCGTGTATCAAGTCCATTTACTTTGGTTCATTCTGATATATGGGACCCAATAAAGAATATTTCATCTAATAAATTTTTTTATTTTATGTCATTTGTGGATGAATATTTTCGTGTGACTTAGTTATTTCTTATGAAAGTCCGTTCTAAATTATGCTCTATATTTGAGACCTTTCGGCAAGAAGTAAAAACACAATATAATTGTCGCATTCGTATTCTCCATTCTGATAATGCTAGAGAATATAAGTTTGATCATTTATCCTCTTATCTTCATAGACTGGCATTATTCATCAAACCTTTTGTGCCTATACCTTTCAGCAGAATAGTGTTGTTAAGTGTAAGAATCAACATCTGTTGAATGTTACCCATACATTATTATTTCAAATACATGTACCTCGTATTCTTTGGAGTGATGTTGTTCTTACAGCCTGTCATCTTATTAACCGCATGTCATCTTCTGTGTTAAATAGGCAAAGTCCATATTCCATCCTTGCACCTCATACCCCCTTATTCTCCTTAACTCCTAAATTTTTAGGTGTGTTTGTTATGTCCATAACTTGGGGCTTGGGTTTGATAAACTTGACCATTGTGCTACCAAATGTGTCTTCCTTGGATACTCTCATACACAAAAGGGATATCGATGTTATAGTCCTATTATTCGTCGATACTTCACTAGTATTAATGTTCCTTTAATGATGAAGTTCCATATTTTTTGGCTCCTGAACAGCCTTTGAATCTTAACTTTGAGCAATCTACACCTCAACCTCCTCCTTTACCGTCGCCTACTCCTCTATCTATTGTATCCCCATCCCCTGCTCCGCTCCGTGTATACTTTTGTCATGGGCAGTCATTAGCTGAAATGCCCTTGCCAGCTTCCTTGTCGTCTCTTGATTCGTGTTCCTCAAGTAATTCTGACTCCTCACTGATTATTCTTAGGAAAGGTACTCAATCATGGAAATTTTGTTTCTTATGATGTCTTGTCTCTTGTCTTTTCCTACTTTACCTCGCATCTGTATACTATTTCTATTCCTAAGACTCTATAGGGTGCCTTGTCTGATCCGGGTTGAATAAAATTTGGGATCGTGTTCCCGTAATGCTTGGAAAACGGACAGTTGGTTGTCAATGAGTGTATACTAATAAGTTTAATCCAGATGGTCTTGTTGAACGTCTCAAAGCTCGTCTTGTTGCTAATGGTTTCACTCAGACATATGTTGTTGATTATGCAGAGACTTTTTCTTCCATTGCCAAGATTTCCTCTATGCGTGTTTTAATTTCTTTGGCTGCTAACCTTGATTAGCCCTTGTTTCAGTTAAATGTCAAGAATGCATTCTTGCATGGTAACTTGGCTGAGGAGGTCTACGTGGAGCAACCACCTGGGTTTACTGGTCAAGGGGAGTATCGTAGGAGTGTGTGTTGACTGAAAAAATCTTTGAATGGTTTGAAACAATCACCAAGAGCATGGTTTGGTAAATTTTCAGATGCAGTATTAAAGTTTGGTCTTTTTCGATATCAGATAGATCATTCTATTTTTCACAGATAGACAGATATAGGGTACACTCTATTAATGGTTTATATTGATAATATCGTAATCACTGGTAATGATTTTGAAGGCATCACTCAGTTAAAAATATTTCTGCAAGACAAATTTCATACGAAAGATTTAGAAAAACTTAGGTACTTCTTGGATATTGAAGTTCTCAGATCTAAGCAGGGTATCTGTCTATCTCAAAGAAAATATGTACTTGACAAGTTAAAAGAGACAAATTTACTAGGTGGTAGACTAGTTGATGTTCCTATGGATCCAAACCAAAAGTTATTGATGGATGATGGTGCTCTATTTGATAATCCAGGTTAGTATCACAGGTTGATTGGGAAGCTTAATTATCTCACTATTATCCAACTAGATATTGCATATATAGTCAGTACAGTAAGTCAGTTTATGGGATATCCTAAAGTACCACATTGGGATGCAGTCATTCGTATTTTTCAATATCTCAAAAATGCTCCTGATCTTGAATTGTTATATCAAACTAATGGACATATTCGAGTGGAAGATTTTTCGAATGCTGAATGGACTAATTCTTCATCTGATCGACGATCAACTACTGATTATTGCACCTTCTTGGGAGGTAATGTTGTTTGATGGAAAAGTAAAAAGCAAACAGTAGTAGCACGATCCAATGTTGAGGCTGAATATAAAGCAAGGGCACATACAACTAGTGAGTTGACATGATTATTACACTTTATTCGGAAAATTGACTTTCTAGTTCAGCTACCGTTACAACTGTTCTATGATAATCATACAGCCGTTCATATTGCTACCAATCTAGTGTTATATAAGAGGACCATACATATTAAAGTTGATTGTCATTTCATTTGAGACAAGATACTAAATAAAGACATTGCAACTCCGTTTGTGAGATCTAAGGCTCAACTTACAGACATGTTCACCAAAGCATTAGTTGTACTCGTCTTGTGGATATTTGTTCCAAACTTAGAATATATGATATCTATAGTCTAACTTGAAGGAGAGTGTTGAAAAAGCTACTATAATATAATTAGGGTTTACGTTTATTGTAATATGTACACCACACAAAGGGTATACTCGTCTTTTACTTCTTTGTTCAGTAAATAAAAATATAAGATTAATAGTGAGATGTAAGGTAAACCAAAACCTCTCCTTACCTCTCTCTTATTGTGTTAAGCTTCTCTCTAAACTAAACACACAAAAACAAGATCTAAAAACATGAAAATGAAACACCAAACCGAAAAACCAAAGCAACAAACACTAGATCTAGAAAAAAAGAAAAAAACAAATCTAGACAGGCCTCCAAAGACGAAGAGTGGCTAAGACTCGTGGAATGCACACCATGAACAGATCCATCATGCTCCACGAATCGATTGCTGCTATGAAGGCTCGCTAAGATCCATGGCCTCTTGCTATGGAAGCTTAATAATTGAGCTGTGTATATTTTTATAATTATGTTATAATATATTATATAATTTTTAATTTATATAAAATTATTTATTAATAAAAGTCAGAGTCGGAGTTTTTTTGGAAAGGCCTTCAAACTCCGATCGGATTCTACAATCTTCATCCAACTCTGACGGAGATGAAATCGAATTTTCGAATTCTTGCACACCCCTAAGCACGGATACTCGCAGGGGGGTCGACAAGGCAGTGTTGGACACATGTCCAACACAGATACGCGTGGAACATGGTCGGACACGTGTCCAAGAGAAAAAAAGATTTAGTTGAACAAAACTCATATATGTAGGGGATACAAGAGGATACGTACGAGATATGTGAGGATACAACTGTGTTTAGTTTGTTAATTTAGAAAGTTTAGGGGCTGTAACCAAAAAAAAAAAAAAGAGTGAAAACAGAGTTAGATCTGAGTCCCTTCGAAGAGAGGAGAAGAAGAAGGGTCCACATATCTACTTCAAGCCTTCACCCAACTTCGGTGTCCCACTCTTCTCATGCTCATTGCTTTTTTTTTTTTTTTGGAGGGGGGGGGGGGTTACTTTTGTGGTTTGCATGCTTTGGGTTTGATTTGTGCATTGATTTTGTTATTTAAAGTTTATAATCATCTGGCTCATGAAGTAAGGGTTTTATTTGATTTTTTTGCTCGTGATTCTGAATTTGATGTAATTATATTAGAGGAAATGATGGATGTTTATTTTGAATCTTTGATCTATTTCAATTATAGTAAAAAAAAAATTAAGGTTTGCTAGGTCTTATTAGTTATTATTAATGTCTTTATTATATATATATAAATACATAATAGTATTTTAATTAGTCAGATCCTCATGGTAATCATGTCCTATATTTTGGAACTTTGCCATATCCATGTGTCGGTATTTTGTTGAACTGAATGTCAGTAAGTTCATCAACCTCCTATCCTACCTGTAGAAAAGGTGAAGATCAGAGTGTTTTGTTCCTCTAAATAACTAGAATGCTGGAGTATACTTGTATAACGATTGAACCATTGAAGAATGAGAAGCATTTCACAGAAGAACGAGTTAACAGGCAAGAATTAGCTCTGAGCTGCACAGACAAGTGTACATAAGAACTTGAAAATTAAAGCAAAACTTTGGGATCTAGATCAATCAAAAGTCAGTTTAAATCCTGCACAAAGTTCGTTAATTAGCTCTGTACCAGTTCATCTCTCTCAAACCTGATTAACAACAACCAAACTAAGCAATTATTTTCCTCATAGATTGTGCACAAAAGGAAATAAATCAACAAAGGTCCTCGGGTAGTAAACACAGAGAGAGAGAGAGAGAGAGAAAGAGAAAGAGAAAGAAACTCCATACGGGCAATAGGATTTGGAGAAGATGACGATGGAATGGGAAGAGATGGTTTTCTTGACGAATTCCACAGAGGCAGATGAAGCTTCTCCAGCGCCGGAAGCTGATGATGGCGATATGTATCCGAACAGAAAGGCAGCTACGATCATCGGAATTACAAAACGAGAGTTTGTCATTGCCGTACGGTTTTCGTCACCGAATTTCCCAACGGTAGCCTTCTGCTGGATCTGTGGGTTTCTCTTCAAGATCAGATCTGCGAATCTACGACAGAAACTGATTCTTACTCCCCGAAACAGATCAGTGATTTGTGCATTCGATTGACTAACTCCGATCTGTGCTTTGCTTCGATCGGTGAGTGGATTTGTGGGTTTGGTTGGTTTGCTCCGATCAGTGAGTGGATTGGTGCGGAGAGTGGATTTGATCATGATTAATGCTGTTAACTTAACTATATTTTCTGAATAACCGAGTTAAATTTTCACTTGGTTACTGTGCTGTAAAAGAAAGGAAAAGATATTATAGGAGGACGACAGAATACGAGAGGTCTAAAGCAGTAAGTGTTAATAGAAATCTAATTTGATAACTTAATTTAAGAATTTAATAATATTATTTTAAGACAATTATTAGATTAGTTGTGAGTTTTTAATAATTGTATTGAATTAAATTTCTAAATTGTATTCAATTAGCACTTGTTAAAAATAAAGAAAAACATAATTAAAAATTAGTTTAACTAGTAAGACAACTCTGGTTGATTAGTTTCAAATAGTGTATTATTTCTATTCATTTTATTTTATATTTATTCTATTCATTATAAACAAATTGATCAAAAAATAGCCTTAAATTTAAGTTATAGAAATACAAAATCGTTATGCATATCTATTATACGATAGACAATTAATTTTAATAATAATACTACAAAGTGATAATACATATAATATAAACATCGAGTGAGATAAGAAAATTAAGATGAACTCTATGGCCCTAATTTTTTGTAAGAGGTTCTAAAAATTTTACGATAATACTACTTTGTACTTGATTTGAGGTTTAAATGCATTGGATAAATAATGTATTTTATTTAAAGTTAACACTCCATGTTAATTCAATTGTTAAAATGTATTGAGTATTTAAATTATATCTCAACATCTAGATTGTATATCATTGTGTAAAATTTTATTTTGGGACCCTAAATTTTTCTTCCAATTTGGGGACCCTAGGCAATGGCTTTAGTGGCCTATAGGTTGGGTCGCCCTGGATAACGTCAGACATTTATGACTTGGGGAAGGAGATGCTACTGTTATATACAATTATTTCTTGAGGAATGCAAACTAATAATTCAAATTTCTTTTACATGATGGACTTAGATGAAGAAGGTCGTCTTAGGAATGTCTATTGGGCAGCTGTAAGAAGTAGATTCGTATACAAGAATTTGGTAACGTACATTTGACACAACATACTTGACAAACAAGTATGACATTCCATTCACACCATTTGTAGGTGTGAACCATCATGAATAATCTACATTACTAGGGTGCAAACTTATATCATGTGAAAACACATAGACATTTGCATGGCTATTTTAGTTAAATGCATGTTTTGTTGTTCTCCCTCCGCAATAACTATAGATCAAGATAGATCCATGCAAAACTCCATACAAATTGTGTTTCATAATTCACGTCATCGGTGATGCTTATGATATGTCATGAAAAAACTACCTGAAAAGTTAAGAGGGTACAATCAATATGATTTAATGAATTTCTCTATGTAAAATGTTGTTTATGATTCATTAACAAGAGAAGAATTCGAAGACAGTGCAGGTTCATTGTGCAATACAATCTAAAAAAGTAATGAATGGTTAACTGAGTTGTACGAGGAGAGAGAATGTTATGTGTCTACCTTTGTGAAAGATATTTTTTTGGTAGAAAAAGTCAACTACACAATGAAGTGAAAGCATGCATACATACATTCTTTGATGGGTATGTAAATTCCAAGACAACATTGAAACAATTTGTTGAACAATATGAGAATGCATTGCAAGATAAGATGGAAAAGAAGAATCAAGAAGAATTCAATTCTTTCAAATCATGGCTCTTGTGCATTATTTTGTTATGAGATGGAGAAGTAGTGCCAAACTACTTACACAAGGGAAAAATTTAAAGATTTCCAATATGAATTAACATGAAAAATATCTTATGACTTGTCTAGATGTAATAACAATGTGTACATTGCAAAATATGAAGCAAGTGAAGATATACCGCTCGGAGAAGGTCATCAATGTGCAACATTCAAGGTTTTATTACACATATATACAAATGAAGTGAAGTACAATTGTCGATTATTTGAATTTTGATGTTCTGAGAAGGGGAACCCGATGTGGGTCTTCCCTCATTATTATACACGTAGAAACCAAGACATTTAACCTAGAGGAAGGGTGAATAGGTTTATCAATTTTAGCCCAAATTAAAATTATAAACCCTCACATTCTTATCTTTATATAATAACGTAATTATTTTGAAATGCTCATATATGTGATGATGTAAGCATGAACTATATTGATTGTAAGTGTATAAATAAAAATGTTAGGCGAGGTAATAGGGTGTGTAATAGAAGTTGGGAAGTATTTTAAAGTTAAAGCACATTTTAGATAGAATTCGGGTAGGAAGGAATTTGGCACTGCCTTAGTATTTGGACCATAACTTTTTACTCTGATATCCGTTTAATCTGAAATTTTTATAGTAGACACTAGATTTTAAGGATACAAAAGAGTATTTCAATAAAATTTTTCAAATCAACCTATAAATAGGCCAAAACTTCATTGGAAGTTCAACTAAATATGAGAGTTCGTTCGAACGTGAATGGATCCATTTGAACGACAGTTAGTTCCAGTACTTTTTGTGTCTAAAAGAACTCTGATGGAAAAGCAAAATTACTGGGAGCAAGCAACGTTCGAACGCCAAAATGACGTTCAAACGTCAGGTAGATAGTTCGAATGTGTGGTCGCGATTCTAAGTATTAGATTTGTGTTGCTTGGACTATTTTCTTATACTATAAATACCCAAGGATGTATTCCCTTGCCCTATTTCATCAGTTTTAACCCTAAAGAGTATTAGAGAGCAAGAAAGAAGAGGAGAAACACGAGATTAAAGAGAATTTTTACGTTGCAACGGATCAAACACGTTAGATTTTTACACAAAAACTGTAAAATCGAGGTAGGGGATTCTTCTTGAGTTCTTTCATTGAGACTAAGGATATTATATATGTATGTTTCAATTTTTTTGATAGATATATGACAAATACTTATAAGTTATTGGTTTCTTTATCATTGAAACATAGTTTTAAACGAAATACATGTTCGTGTTCAAGAAATACTTGTTCTTGAATTTTCAAAAGCCTAATTTTTTCAAAATACACATTCTATTGTGAAAAATACATGGATTCTTGATTTCTAAAGTCCTATTCTTGAGTAAATCATGTTTTTCATCTAATACTTATTCTTACTCTAAGAAATTATGATTTTTGACAAAATTCTAGAATTTTGATATTGAAATTATGAAGGTTTTCTTAAGATGATCTCCTGCATATTTTAATTCTTTTATTAATGTAGTATATTGAGAATTGTACAATTGTGATAATTGAATTGTTAATAAAAATTGTGATTGGTTAAGATTGTAATTATTGAGAAAAATTATGGTTTCATCTCTTGTATGGTTTATTGTGATGGAGTATTAGATGTTAGTCTGTCCTAGTGAGGGTGAGAGGTTGCCTAATACTTGTAGTGAATTCTTGTTTGTGAGGGCAACCATAACTGTTCACGTAAGTTCGAGGATGAGGGATGATATATCTTTCCTAGAAAGAATTCGTCAATGTCGTGGGAGACTGTATACGTCATTCTTAAAGTGGTTTATGATTTGGGTCTGTGGGGAATGATTGAGATTGTGTGATTGTGATAGATGAATGAGGTCGAATCATTATGTGAATTCCTGAGAAGCAACCAACATACATAAGAATGAGAACGAACCAACATATATGAGAATGGGGATGAACCAACATATATGAGAATGAGGATGAACCAACATACATGAGAATCGAGATGAACCAACATACATGAGAATATGAGATGATGCTATTAAGTTATTTATTGATTGCTTTAATTTCTTTCACAATTATTCCTGTTATTGATTTATTATATTTCGTATACTTAAGATCATTACAACTGTCATGACTTTACTCTCAAAAATTAATATATGATATTTTTCAAAAGAGACTTACCTTCTTTTTATTATTTTAAAACCTTGTTGGGATTTGAGAGGGAAATCCTGCGCGCTTTTGCTCACTCCCTACAACACATTACAAATTTTGGTAACGAGGAGGATTTCGAGTTAGATAAGCATGTTGATCTCAAGGCTAGATAGGGTCAGTATGAGAATTTTGAAGTGGAAGCTTAGAGATGCTTCGTTTTAGCTTTGATTATTGTATTTGGAGAGATTTTTGTGAAACAATGTTTCAGTTAGTTTTATTATTCTACTGTTAGCTATTCTTTGATTTTGGATTGTAAGTTGAAGAAGTTTCAATGTGTTGTTGGTTTTAGTATTTATTCTTTGACAGATGTATGAGTGGTTTATTAATTAATGATTATTTTTAGTTACTCTCATGATTGAATGATTTTTAGATAGTAATGCCTTCTAGGGTGGATTTTAGGGTGTTACAAGTTTGATATCAGAACGTAGGATTTAGGTCTTACATGGGAGCTATAGGTTATGGTTTATCACTAGAGAGTTAGGATCAGGAAGAATGAAATTATAGAATTGAGTCTAATAACAGGCCTTAAGCTTTAGACTCTAGAGTGAATTAGGGTTTTTTGTATGTTAAGGAAACTAAACTGAACTTCGCTGTGCAGAATGGATGGTAGAAGGAGACGAGGATGTGGAGGTTTCATGAACCCGCCACCACCATGTCCTCTGGATGCAATGAATGGTATCTACCAATGCTTACGGGAGTTGACCTCTTTGGTACAAAACCAGAATGAAAACCACAACCAGAATGTGGCGACACAACCATTGGCGGTGGGACAAGGAGATGTCAATGAAAATCGTAGGATGGTGGCGTTGCAAAAATATTTACGACAATGCCCACTCATTTTTTAAGGAAGCTCTAATCCAATGGAGGCAGATAAGTGGATTAGAACAGTGAGGAAAATGTGTGACAGCATGGAAATTGCTGCTGATCTCTGGGTGGGGCTAGCGACCTATTTGTTCGAAGGAGAAGCGGACCACTGGTGGGATTTAGTGAAGCGAATACATGTAGTGGATACCATGACTTGGGAGATGTTTGATCAGATCTTCCAAGATAAATACTTCCTCGAGTCTGTGAAGGATGAGATGAGTGCAAACTTCTTGGCTTTAGAGTAGGGCAGCATGACGGTGACTGAATATAAAAT